CCCCGCCCCCGGCTCTCTCAGCATCTGGGAGCCAGGAGGCGGCCCTGCCCCCAGCTGCCGCCGCTGGTTGCAGTCTGCGGGGTGATCAGTGGGGCGATCTGGCCCCGCTCGAACCCACCTTGGCCTGGCACCGCCCACTCACCTGCTCCACGGTCCCGCTCTCCTTGGGGCCATCGGGGCCTGTCGCTGATGCCCACCACCCCCTGGTGGTCAGCGCATATCATAGTGAGCTGTTGAACTCCCAGTCGAGTGACCGCCTGAGGGGACAATTTGCATATTAGGCTTTTATTATATAGGGTGGGATCTTTTTGTAATTAGAGGAAGACAGCAGAGTCTTTGGTTGGAGGAGGACAGAGGTGGGTGGTTTAGTCTTTGTTCCTTCATTAACCCCTTGGATGGGTTTTGAGACTCTGTGGTTAGAGGACTGAAAGTTAGACATGGAAGGAACTCTTCATGACAGGAGATATAATACATTGGGCACAAGTGACCTGGTTTAGGGCTTGGGTAACAAAAGAGCAAAGAGTGTGCAAGTCGGGGAGAAGGACTTCCTCCCCATCTGTGAGTGGAACTCAGCTCTGCTTTGGAATCCTGAGGATTAGAAGTTTGGAAGTATCCAAGATCTGGGAATAATGACACAGGCTCTGACAATCTTATGACAGGCACTGAACCCAGTGAGCTGTGTGGGCAGCAGGGTGGACACAGGATGGCTGGTGGTTGACTCATGTTTCTGGGTATATGTGAGGCATCCCTTTGAGACTCCCTAGAAATTACTGAGGATTTTTTGAGAGGGAGACTGAGGCCTTATTGTTATATAAATGGGAGTTTGAATCAGTGTAAAATGGATACTGAAAGCAAATGTGACCATAATTTGTAATCATAATCTCAGCAGTGCTATACAAAGTAGTTAAGAAGCAAAGCAAAATGTAGGATAACTGAAGCAAAATATTTACAGAGTAAGTCAGAGTCCAAAGACCACTTGAAAAGCAAGGATTGTGACCTGAAACCCAAAAATAAAATGGAAAGGAATTACTTTTTCTTTTACTTTAAGACTTATTGAAAACAGGAAAGGGTAAACTTATAGGGTTTTGAAGCACGCACATATTAGGTACTCGGTAAAGGCTTCCTTCTTTGCTCTTTCTTCCTTCCCTTCTTCTTCTTTTTAAATAAAAGTGCTGTTTGAGATAGGGCCAGTAGACTTGGATTGTAAGACATTCCCGACAGAACAGAAGCACCTTGCACTGCCCCAGAGCTTCCTTTTTCTCTTCTGAGACAAGAGCTTCTATTATCACTATACTCATGTGACTTGGGGGGCAGGGGGGGGGGCAGGGAGGGGAGAATGAGGTTGGGGGCTTACTTGACCCGACTTCAGGTCTCAAAAAGAAATAGTGGCAGTATGAGACTCTGATCTAGAGCTCTTTCAGGAGTTTAGATTGCTCCCGCACTGACACCTGCACCAATAGTTGTCAACAGTAGTTGCACAGTACAGTTCTCTGAGGAGCTTTAAAAAATATGCCAAAGGATCCCTGTCAGACCAATGAGCAAAGTGGTTAAGGTAATAGACGTAGGAGCCAGACTCTGAGTTCGAATCCTTCCTCTGTCACCTCCCAGCTGTATGACCTCGGCAAGGTACTCAACTTCTCTCTGCTTCAGTGTTCCCCTTTGTAAAGTGTCAATAAGAACACCACCTTTTTTGTGGGGTTGTCCTAAGGATTGAGTTAACAGGAATGAGGCGCTTAAAATAGGGCCTGCCATATGGTAATCGCTATGTAAAATCCTGCCAAATAGAACCTGGGGATCAGTTTTTTGTAAGTACTCCCCCTCGGGATTCTAATCTGCAACCTGGGTTTTCAATCTGCGAATGTAGTGCCACTTTTGGGATTCCGCTTCCCGAAAAGTTGACATTAACCAATCGGTGAAGGGAGCTTTTTTTTTTCTTTCCTCTTCCTCCAGTAAGATTTTGAGCTCAGAAACCTGTTACCTGGATCCAGCGGAGCGAAGCGGTTTTCCCTATGCTCTCTGGGAGTTGTAGTTTGCCAAAGGTCCTGTAAGCGCTCGGTGGCCAGATCGGAACTACAACTCCCACAACACCGCGCGCCGCCCGCCCTGCTTCTCGTTGGTGGCTCTCTCTGGCTTCCCTGTACCGCCTCTCGGCGGCCGCAGCAGAGGCACCATGGCCGACGGCAG